ATGTCTTCTATAATTTTCGCCTAAGTATTCTCTACCGATCATGAGCCCTCTTATTACCGTAAATCTCTCCCGAGTAATTACGACAATTTACTAGACGCATTCTTCCGAGCTACGCTAGCTGGCTTTTAATACAACTCACTTCAGATCGCACCCAAGACTTCGTTATCCCTAATCCCACCTTTAAACCCTCGGTTATTGATCCCTCATATACTCTGGGAGTGGTGCTGTTCAACAATTACCTAAATATGCACTCTCTCCCGAGTTATGCATACTAAATAGGCACAGCTAATTGGGAGCTCTTCAATCAACCAGAATATAAACGTAGTTGAACAAATAGAGAAAAGCTATGGCTCAATTATATAAAAACATAACAAGAATTTATCCTACAAAAGGTTCTATCAAAACTCTAGATAACAAATTAGCTATTCATAATAGTATGTAAAACTACAATACTAAAAGTCATAACCAACAATGAAAAATAGGAAGAGGAAGGAAAAACTCGTAGAAGAATTCTCTGTCTTGCTCCCAATGTGCTCTTGCCTCCAAGGGTGTTGTCTAACCCTAAAGTAGTGTCTCCTGCCTCCTTAGGTCTAATTTGTGTCCAAAATATGTCCCCTCTCTTTCTTGGCCGGCTTCCTTGGTTTAATATAGGGTTTAGGGCTTAAAATTCCGTGTTTTGCACATAAGTCCCTGAAATTTCCGCCTCCTGCCTCGGTCGCGGTGGAACTGCGGCCAAACATGCCCTCTGATTCTTCAGTTGTCCGCGACCATCTTCTACCGCGGTTCTGCCGCGGTCGCGGTGGAACCGCGGTTTTTCACCTTGTTCCGTTTGAAATTTGGAAAAACGTAAAACATGAAAGTTGTAGCCCTTTGAATTAGATTTCCAACCATATATTGTGGAGCCCAAATGGAGTTCTGAGCAAAAAGTTATGTCTATTTTACTAGACAGTGCGCAATATGCCTCCTCAAGTCTTCGTTCGTACTTAATTATCAAATTTGACCCCCAAACACGATCCCGGCTTAATTTCTTGAGCTTTTACTCAGACTTCAAAGTTTCAAATCACTTAAATTCATTCCATAATATTTATATAGCTCGGAATCACACCTACAAGGCATAAAACACACAATTAGTGCAAAACACTAGCGATGAAAGCGCAAACTCAATTAAAGTGCAGTAAATTCGAGTGTAATAAGCGACTAAAATATGCAATTATAGCCTATTATCACCTACACATACCAAGAATATTTGCCGGCTCTATCTCTATAACATATTGAAGTAATCATAAATTTTTATATTATAGAGACACCAATGAAATTAATTAAATCCGTATATCAACTAGACACAATGTAAGCTAATAGTTGCGGGTATACAATAAAGTGCTAGAAAGATCGAACACAAGGAACCTATTCTTTGTCTTGACAAAAGAGAATGCGCATCTGAGAGGGAACTTGATCCTCTCTTCCATAAAAAATAAAGCTAACTCATTGCAGTTGACTAAGGAGTCCAGAACCGAAATGTGGTTCTTTTGGACTCAAAATACTTTTTTAGGTGTAAAAAAAAAATTATCATTCTAAATAAAACGCGGTTCATTTACCTTCCAGGTAAAGCGCGGTTTATTACTGTGTTTTATGTAAAACACAGTAAGAAACCACATTTTTACATGTTTTGTGGGCCCTCCAATAACTCTTCTGCGCTTAACTGACATAACAATAATTCAAATATGTAAAACGCCCTTTTAAACTGCGTTTTACTTCCAAATTGACCCTACCCCCCCCCCCCGGATTGGGCATTCCCTTATATAAAGGCGTTACGGGATTTTGAAAAAAATCATTCAGAAATACTCCAACTTCGTGATAAATTTTTCTTGTTGTTAAATTCTCAAACTTTTTTCATAATGTCTGAAGAGCGAAAAGTAAGGGTTTCATTATATTGGGGGGTGGGGGTGGGGGGGAGGGTTAAGGTTGTGGTGGCGAATAACTCAGTGAGCTATAGTTTATCTACATAGAGTCATGTTAAGTTGCCACCTACAATGGAATACGATAGACAGGTATCGTTGTTATGCAATAAAATGAGGTTGAGCAAACGTTCGGTGAATCTTAAAATAATCGAAAGATATCCGTATTCTGTGACTCCGCAAGGGGTTGCTTGTTACACTGAGTTTAACATCGAGGATTATGAAACTCTGAGAGATTTTTTGGGGACTCCAGATGAATAAGTGAATATATATAGCGCGGTTAAATACTACATTTTGTGTGTTGTATTGTCGATCTGAAAAGCTGCCCGACTGCGAAAAAGCTATTTCGTATCAGAAAGAATCTTTAACACGCCAAGCATAGCGCGATTAAATACTACGTTTTGTGTGAATATATATATAGCGCAGTTAAATACTACGTTTTGTGTGTTGTCTTGTCGATCTGAAAAGCTGCTCGACTGCGAAAAAGCTGTTTCATATCAGAAAGAATCTTTAACACGCCAAGCATAGCGTGGTTAAATACTACATTTTGTGAGAATTTATATAGCGGTTAAATACTATGTTTTGTGTGTTATCTTTCGATCTGAAAAGCTGCCCGACTGCGAAAAAGCTGTTTCATATCAGAAAGAATCTTTAACATGCCAAGCATAGTGCGGTTAAATACTACGTTTTGTGTGAATATATATAGCGCGGTTAAATACTACATTTTGTGTGTTGTCTTGTCGATTTGAAAAGCTGCCCGACTGCGAAAAAGTTATTTCGC